TCAAATCCCGCCAAACGCCTAGAGTTTTTCACACTTGGGTCAACTCAAATCGGAGCTCATTACCAAAAAGCGTGCCAACAGTTCGATTTTATGCATTCCAGATCAGCTGAACAAATAAAGGAGTAATCAAAACAGACATAACATTTGCCAAGTTACACTTTCAGCTAATTGGTTTGGTGCCTGGATGCCAGATGAGTGTATGCGTATGAATTTACTTCTCCCACAGTGTGAAATCAATGTGATACATTGAGCTTAGCTACACTGGTCACTCAGGTCCGTCAGTTTATACCGGCTGCATTTCTTTTCTTATGCACGCAGTAGATGACCGATCGCATCGCTGGGATGTGGAAAAAGAGGATCAGCGGCACCAGCGCAGTGAAGAAAATGAGCAAGATCTCACCGAATGTTTGTCGTGGACTTTGTATCACGTAGGTGAGTGTACCAGTTGCACTCAGTAATTGGTAGACTGCATCATAAGTAAAGGTTGCAATGTAGGCAACAGTTAGGGGTTTAATACAAAATGAGGCTGGCCAATCTGATCTATCAGAGTGGGCTGCTATTCTGCGTTGCTGCAAGTCGCCAGGATTTGAGTGAATTGTAAGCGAGTCTTCAGAGGGTGACAGTGTGTCCGGAAATGCGAGTTTATCCATTTCGTCCTCCCCCATAGGTGTACCCATTGTTGTGCTTTTCCACAGTCGTAAAAGTAAAGCAATTGATATGTAGACGAGAAGGGCAGGATAAATTATCGCGAAAAACGCCACCATCAGGTAGGAGTGAGCATACACTACTGATAGGACAACAAGGTCCCCGATTGGTGACGCGCAGGCACAGTTCTTCACCTGTGGCTGCGCTCCAAGTAGTTGAGGCACTGCAGCAAGAAAGCTGCCAATAAACGCAAAGAGCATGTAGGCTGTGAGACGCCGCCTCTCTGTAGTCAGGCGATAATACCGAAGTTGCAGTAGTTTAAAGGCCCTGTTATGGGCGAAGGCAACGGCACTGTGGTAAACGTGGACCTTACTGTACCAGTAGAGAAAACGACTACTCCAGAAGAGGCAAACGAGACCGTCAAAGTAGATTTTGCCAGTGTTGGAGCTAGGGGGGCCAACATCGTGCAGAAAATCAATGACTGTGGAAACTGGACAACTAGAGGGGAGAACTCGCAGAAGGGCCAGAACTTCGGACTTCTCTACGCGAAGAAGGAAGAGTACAATAGTGACCGTAAAGTTGGCGATGACTCCAAAGACCTCCACCATAAGTTCACAAATATCCAAACTGTTGGGCCAGTCATCTCCCTGTTGGCAACTCCAAAATAGTTTTGAAGGGTCCGCCATTCCGAATCCGAAATTGAACCCGGTAGACAACTTTTAAGTCTGGTTTGCGGATTCTGTTGGCACCAATTGGAAGACGAGAAAATGTTTTTTTAGCCAATCAGTGCCCGAGGACGACATGCATATTAGCAAACGCTGCAGGCAGAAAGAATGAACGTAACAGGCTCACGGAAAATGCAAAATTAACCTATTTGACCAGAGACGTTTCTCAGTTTACAACGAAGATTTCGGGCTAATGGCCACAATGTTATTCATCGACCGGCATGAAATTTGCGGTGCTTAAATTCTATTATGCACACAAAAAATATAATCTGAATGATGTTAAACAAACAAGCTGCTCTCTTTCGCAGTTTTAATCAAGAAAATATTGGGACCTTAAGCATGCAGCTGCAAAAATAAGGAACACCGTGTATGAGGAACTGTTTTTTATAAGTCCTCCATGATAATCCTTTGACTCATTTTCTGTTATTAACATGTATCACCGAATAATGGGGATTGAGAGCTCTCAAAAATTAAGCTCTCAAAAAAGTGATGAGACTGAACTTACCACTTTTTAAATGCATACAGTTTCGCTTTTACAGAACCTGACTAATTTAGTCTGGGCAGCATGACCCTATAACAAATTAAAGGATTCCAAAGGAAAATATATATTATTATCTTTGTTCCGCCGGAGAACATTTAAGTTCCGACCCCTCAGATTGGGTATGGATGGTTGATGACTGCTAACAAGCCAGAAATGGCCATGTCGGTCTCCCTGGTCTTTGTCGGATCGTCTCCATCATCTATGCATCTAAGGTAGAGAAGGATGACAGCGTTTGGTGATAACTTGATACAGAACGTTTTCAGGCTCGCTTGCTTTCATTCAGCCGAGCATAACTCTGGCCACCAGCTGTATCGGAAACACAGACATACGCACACATGGATGGCGTAGAAGGTCTAACACTTGGGTCTACTAGATAGGTCATTAGCAATTCATCGAACCAGAGTCCATAAATAGCTCACCACCTGCCATTCACTGTCACTGCAGACCGGGTCTATATGTACTCAGGAATGTGCGGACACCGATCCAATTGGCTTCCGAAAATAAAAAAAATATCTCAAACAGGCGGCCACCTGCCAGACCGATGTCGACCAAGTAATAATAGCGGAGCGGGGTGACAGCATTTTGGGATAACTTGATTTAAAACTGTAGCTAAGGTGGTATGCATTCCGAGGTGATATGATAAAAAAAACGAAATTTCGTCGGAAAAGAAAGCTATATGCGTAAATGTTCAGGTAGGTTACACGGCTCCTTCTTCAGTCAAAATGAAAACTGATGGGTAATTTTGTTACATTGGTGCTTAAGGTCACAGACGACCTTACGAGCGGGAAGTGTGCTCCTTATTGTGGTGACTGTCAAAGGTTAGGCGATGTGATTGGAATCTCAGCTGTGATTCAATTTTTCAATGGGGCGGGGAGCAAGAAAGGAAGCAGTGGTGTATAGGTAGAGTTTATCATGTTAGGGTGAACGCCGGTCCGTCCGCTTTCTTCAGATAGCCTCGTATTGAATGTCAAAGTCAACACGACTGTTTCTGACAGATACTCTTGCCGGCAAAGACAAGGGAGACTGGGACGGATGAGTTTCATTAGCGATCAGGTGAGCGTTCATCAGTGACTGTCAATATCCCTTTGTTAGCAAATTTTTATACCCAGTACTACCAGCTGTTACGGCTGTCAAAGCCTCCATCGAGGAAGAAGGCAGAGCGGGATTGATGAGTTTCGTTAGCGGTCGGGTTAGCGATAATAAACGAATGCCTTTTTATGCTGTCCAAGTTGGAATACTAGGCTTTGAGAAATGCACACGCTCGTTTAGTGTCGACCATCGCGACTACTTCGGTAGCGTCCCAATTTGAGTAATAATCGTAGTCAAGAACGTGCGCAAACACAAGTGATAAGAGGTCCCGGCGATGGATAGCCAGGTTGCGTTCGTTAATGAGGGTCCCACGATTTCAAATCGTGTGACCAATGTAAAGATACCGGCTTCTTCTAATCACAATACGACTAGCTCAGCCTGTAGTCCGATATCGATTAACCCATGAGGGTGCCCTTCACTGGATGGTAATACCTGTCCTCGTATTGACAATAATTCATGAGGCAGAGCCCAAGCATATCTAAAATATGCTGCTTGGGAAGGTCAATGGGATCGTCATCTGGGAAGCGAACTATACTCTCATTTGCCAGGCTGTGTGTTTTGGAAGAAAATGGAGCAACCGCATCGAAAATTAGAATACATTCATCTGGGCTGACATTGAGGTGTTGCATTGGAGGATAGCATGACAGTTGCTGATTCTATACTGCGATGGGAAACAATAGTTTAAGTAGCGCAAATCGTATATCCCTTATCCCAGCATTTTGTCCTGTGGAAACGTTGGTTATAGGGGTTTTATGGGTGGATAATTAGGAGAGCCACTGAAATATACTTTAATAACTGCTGTATGCATTTTTATTTTATCCCATTTAGAAATTTTGTTGATTTATATCTGCAGATTTTCCTAATCTGTATTATCGTGTAACGTATTCCGAAAAAACCCGATTACCAAAATGCAGGCTCCTTGAAATTCCTGAAAAATAGAAATGGTGATTAGGAGGTCGTCTACTTCAATTTTCCCAAGGTCCAACTTGCCGTTCTGGAGGTAGATTAATATAATCTGTGGCGCGAAGCCCCGCGCACACCCTCCATAACACGCAGACGAACTTCCTCCCAGCGGCCACGGGAAACAAATTCAATTACATTTTTCCACTTAACCCTTACATCTACAAGTGTATTTCACTGCCTATCGTATTTCCTCACCCTTAAACCCCCTACAACCCCTGTTTCCATAGGACGAAATGCTAGAACTAGGTGTATATAAGATGCGCGGAAAAAGTAGCATGTGTAGGCCCACCTGGATTTTTAAAACCCGAGTCTTCTATCTTACGGGACTGGCGGGATTGGGGGTATTATGGGTGGGAAAAAGGATGGACGAGAAAGTGCCTTTGTAAAAATAAGTACAGAAAATGGTTATAATTTTGTTGAAATACTTTAATGCGGCAGCTATATAGCGACGACGGTAGGCGCGTAAATGGAAAAATGGGCAAAAAAAATCGACATCGCATCGACCTCGAATTGACGTCGACAAACCTGGAAATGGGGAGTTTTATTCCGAAAACCCCCTTTTTTCCCAAAACCCAGTAATAATAGACCTTTTAAAGGCTTTATGTAATACTAAGCGTTTATTATAAATAATAAAAAATCTGGTAAAAAATATTACTGGACATATGTATAAAGAGTTATATGTGACGTTCAATATCAGAATTCCAAATTTCCGGTGACTGGCTGCTGTGGACAATAGGCTGTGTTGTGGCCTGTCTACTTGAGGGCTAAATAAAAGCAATCCAAATATCTTGAAAAGTTAAGAAGTTAAAAATGGGAATATTTACCGAACTCAGACAATTCGAATATCCCTTGTAATTCCTTGAGCCAAGGTATGTGTATGTATCTTTGGGGAGATTTGCTGACCTTGAGCGAGGTCAATGAGGTTCATATTTGTTATATCATCACTAAACCCTAATGGACCATTGACGGACGCTTGCAAGTTGGGGTTGTTCACTAACCTTGGACGAGGTCACTGAGATACAGTTTTAATATCATCACTGACCCCAACTGGACCAACAGCGGGCGCGTGTAACTTGGGGGATGTTCACTGAAGCTGGGCGAGGTCATTGAATCATTTTCTCCTTTTTTAGAAACGTCAATACTTCAGATGATGTGTGTCGCTGTGTATTTTCTTGCGTAAAGGTGTATTCTCTCTGTTAAACCGCAACTGCATGAAAGGCATTTTCGTGTGACCATCAGTGAAGTATCTTAGGCAAATGCTAACCGTGATTATGTAAGGGTACTGAATGGTACGTGTAGTAATTACAAGTGCAACTGTTGCAAGGCTGGGTAGACGAAGAAAGTGAAGAGTAATCAGCGATATAGTAGCACGGTTGTCAATGAGGGACGCGATCAACAACTACTAGTCTGCCGAATTAAATGAATAAGCATAAATACGCCTACTGAAACTAATATGGCAGTTTTTTAGTGTTTCTTTCCAAAATGGGCCTACCCACGCTACGGTTACCAGATGCGCTTCTTTAACTACTTTTGCCCTGCGATCCACTGAAGATGTGCTTCAGGTTTTCGTATAATCATTTGACGTGTTTATACGTAGTAGCACCATGATCCTCAGTTGTACGTCTGCCTTGTGAATTTTTGGGAGTCCCTTAGCACGTGAGATGTGGTGAGGACATCTGGAGTCTGTTAGGGTTTATAAGATTCAATTATGTGAGCTCTTTAACCTTTTTATTTACGAACGGAGCCTGCTGCTTCATTGGATCCTCAGTGATTGGAATGTTAATCTCTCTGTCTTTAAAGGCTGTGTTGGCCTTATACTACATATTAGGTCTTATCCATAATGACAGTTGCACCATCTTTATCGGCAGAGACAACAATATGGACACAGTCATCCGACCTCAGGGCGCGTAATCTTTCCGCTTCTCCAGTCGTCAGAGGAGACTGATGACAGAGCTACGTATGTATGCACGCATGTTTTCCGGGATGGATGAGGTAAGTAGGAGGGTCTTTCGGTTAGCTAGGAAATTGGGTTTGACTTAACCGCACGCTTTTAGACAGGAGGCTGGTTTAAGCAGACGTAAGAGTCCTTTTTGATGGATTGACATCTAGCGTGGAAATTGTTTACAAGACGGCGAAGAGCTTCGAGATTTTCTTGAAGGTCAACTTGAATCTCTGGTGGCGGCACTTATGCGCTGCAGAACGCTTTCTTTAATGTATTCGGGTAGAGATGAAACGCACTGGACCATGAGGTCTGAAATTATTGTCCTAAATCAATGAAGGGGATTGTCCAAGTCAGATATAATTGTACTTAAAACAGGGACTCCGCG